TAAATTACTTGTATGCTTACTCTCAGTGCTGGGTCCTTAATTCATGACTGTTAGATACACTTTCAGCAGTGGGGCCTCTAGTCCATGAATACCTATATACTTACTCTCAGTATTGGGTCCTTAATTCATGACTATTAGATACACTTTCAGCAGTGGGGCCTCTAGTCAATGATTACATGTATTGTTACTTTCAGTGTTGGGTCATTAATTCATGACTGTTAGATACATGTTCATCAGTTGGGCCTCTAGTCCATGATTACCTGTATGTTTACTCTCAGTGTTGGGGCCTCTAGTCAATGATTACTTATATTGTTACTCTCAGTGTTGGGTCATTAATTCATGACTATTAGATACACTTTCAGCAGTACTTCCTCTAGTCCATGATTACCTGTATGTTTACTCTCAGTGTTGGGGCCTCTAGTCAATGATTACTTATATTGTTACTCTCAGTGTTGGGTCATTAATTCATGACTATTAGATACACTTTTAGCAATGGGGTCTTTAGTCCATGATTACCTTGAAGAAGCACTCAATAACTTATGACAATGTTAGAGATGTAAGTTAAATACCATGCCCCTGCAAGTTTGTGTTATTTTAGACTACCATGTGTTCTGAAAAATCTGGTTTAACCCATACACAAGAAATTTTCTTAATACTTAATAAAGATAGTTTTTTTTGTTAATAGTACACATTTATTCTTTCTAAAAAATACTTTTTTTTTTACAGTTTATAGACCTGATGACCCCAGAGTCCATAATTTGAAGTACACAAAGGTGGAGTTATAAGATTTAGATTGATTATTAATATATCCTGTAGAATATGTTGCAGTTAAAGTAGACTTCAGCACTGCTACTAATATCATCTTCAGATGTCATCATCGTAAACTGTGAGAAGCCTTCTAGGTGAATTGTTACACAAGATTACATGTACAAAAGTAGATATTGTAAAGCAAAAATAAAATGAGTTTAAAACTTATCTCTGCTGTGTAAGTATTTATCATTGAAAGCTGACTTATATATTCACTTCATGGAAATAATAAAACTCAAGAAAGGCTATATACATTTACTTAATTGTTCTTTCACATTTGGAAACATATAATAAACAACAAAGTTGACTGACTGATTTCTTAAAGTCATTATTGAAAATTTTGTGTTTAATGTTCTCAAGATATGACACTTATCAAAACACTTATTTTGGAGTAAGTAAACTTAGGAAATAGCTTATTTTTATTATGTTTGCATATGAAAAATTAATTCTTGTAAATCACTTATGTTATTAAGTTTTATAAACAAAACAAAAAAGCAAGGAATCATCTTTATGGTATGAAAACAGAACAGTAGCTAATTCCTGGGCACTACTGCTGCCAAGAAGTATTTTTTAAAAGTCACTGTACGAGCTTTAAACCCTGCATATAATAATGTGAACTGTCTAGTGTATGATAAAATCAATATTAGACTATAACTCTCCATCAACAAAACAACACATCCTCCCTTGAGCACTTGATGTAAACTAAGCTCTTAATTTTTTCAGCTTTCAACCCTACATATAATAATGTGAACTGTCTAGTGTATGATGAAATCAATATTAGACTAACTCTCCACCAACAGCAGAACAACACATCCTCCCTTGAGCACTTGATGGATTAATGGTTGGAAGAACTCTTGTAGCTCTGAAGAATAAAGATACCATAATTTGGGCCATGAATACAACAAACCATAAAATCTGACTGGATGGAACATTGCAAGATTTGAGGCTATTGTAGTACTTTCTCATGGAACATTGCAAGATTTGAGGTTATTATAGTACTTTTTCATGGAACATTGCAAGATTTGAGGCTATTGTAGTACTTTCTCATGAAACATTGCAAGATTTGAGGCTGTTGTAGTACTTTTTTATGGAACATTGCAAGATTTGAGGCTATTGTAGTACTTTCTCATGGAACATTGCAAGATTTGAGGCTATTGTAATACTTTCTCATGGAACATTGCAAGATTTGAGGCTGTTGTAGTACTTTTTCATGGAAAATTGCAAGATTTGAGGTTGTTGTAATACTTTATCATGGAACATTGCAAGATTTGAGGCTGTTGTAGTACTTTCTCATCAAAGAATATCACAAACAGCCACCTTTGAGACAAGGTGTGGGAAATCTGATATCAAATCCTCACATAAAGACAAAACATTTCTGAAAATATCAAATTTATAGAGTTCCAATACATCAAATGCTTCTTGATGTGGTTAACTTTATTTTATGTGAACCACCTGTACATTAATATCCAAATATGCTTCAAAGTCATTTAGTGTTTTTCTTTCTTTTCTTCATCGGATTCGGTCCATGTTTTTGACCAGGGAGGGTCAGGTTCAGCGTTGACCTCTTCCTCCCTCTCAGGAATTGTTATTTTGTTTGTGCTCTTTCTGAATCCTAGATAATAATCCTTGTTACGTTGTTGCATTACTCACACTATGTTAAATTTTGTCCATTGTCAGCAGTTTTAATTAACATATCCTTTTTGTGCCATGTTCAATTCATGGGGTAATATTAACTTGTATATTTTTCACTAGCTTCACTTATGTATGATCGCACCTATTAGTCAGTGTTCACAATACAGTTCCGCTTAGCAGTCATACACACACACAATCCTATTTTTACATACAAAACCCTTTTAAAATAGAGCTATGTTTGTGTCTAGGATTCAGTTAGCCTAGCACTGTTTGGTCTGTAAGGTTCTTATTTGTGATGCTTAGAGGGGAGAGGTACTAAGGGCTTGGTTCATCACATGTTATGTAACTCTCTAGTTTGCTCATCAGTTCATTTTTATTAATATTTTTCTTATAATTTTGAAGCTAGTCATCCAGGAGTCCGCCTGATAGTGTTAGCATGTCTAAACTGTTGTATAAAAATACTGAGTTTGTTGACCGTGGGACTCTACATGCTTTCGTTAAAATATAGTTTTGTATTTGTTGTAGTTTGTTGCTGTGTGTTTTAAATACATTTATCCATGTTATACAGGCATATTCTACGACTGGTCTTACATCTTTCTGAAACTTTTTAATATATTTTCTGGTGAAGCTCCTTGTTTATTGCCAGTCATACTCCTAAGGTAACTTGCTTTTTTTCCAAATTCTGTTTTTTATACTATTAATGTGTGGTATCCAATTTAATTTTGAGTCACTTGTAATCCCTAAAAATTTAACTGATGTTGCTACCTGTAAAGAGTCCCATCTATATACAGCTGCATTATTTTGATTGTTTTGAAAATAATACTTGTTTTTTGTGCGCATTTATTTTAATTCTCCACTTATTGTAGTACAATTTTATTTCGTTCAGTAGTGGTTGTATATTGTATGTTGCTGGGTGTGAGGCACTTTTCCAGATTACAACATCATATGCGAACTGTGAGCAAAAAGTGTGGTTTGAGTCTTTGAGAGGCATGTTGCTGACATACATGATAAACAAGGTAGGGCTAAGTGCTCCTCCTTGAGGGACACCCGCCTCCGGAGTGCTTCACTCGGAGTAGGTACTCTCAACATTTACTCTGATGCTCCTATCTTCCAGGAAGTTAGAAACCCAGCGAATAATATCTATGAGAAGTCCCAATTAATTAATGTTTGGACTAAATAGCTTAAATCTCATAACATTATACATTTATAGATATACTTACTATACTGACCTTTCACTCGTTCATGGCTAACAATACAGAAGTTACAAAGACGCGGCTCACTTGCACTAATGTTACTGTATTCAATAAAATAAAACTGACCTTTAGTCTTTACAAAGTGACCTGTCTTTGGCTGTGTTTTAGTGGACTGGTCACATTTCAATTATTGTACGTTATATATCTATATAGATTATTGCTATTTTGAAATAAGTACTTAAAGTTATTTTCTAAAACACAGAACAGTAAATAAAGAAGTAAAGCAAACAATTATATTTTCTGGTTACGACCTTTGTACTCGATTGCTAAGCCTTTAAAAGTTTTGCACGTGGAGGACATGAAACAAAATATTTTTTTAGGTTTTATATATATATACTTTTGAATAACTAAAAATTATAAATTAATACCGTAGAATTCTACTATAATTTGTCAAACATAGTAACTAAGCTGTATTTGGGTCTACAAAGTATGAAATTTCGAGCACTCTAAACACAACCTTACTTCTTTGAAATTTCAAAGAAAAAAATGACTAGGTACATTAGAAAGGCTGAGAAAACCACTAGAGGGACATTTGAGCTTCCGATTAGTTATTCACGTCATATATAGAAGTAATTGTTTATAAGGGAGCGTTTCCAAAAATGGAAGGTGGTGAGCGGGGTGCCGCTATGTTTTATTTATTACGTAAGCATTATATTAGCAAATAGAAAAGATACAACCTTTTTATTTTATATTCTAGCTTGTCAATATCTGTAATTTGAGTTTGTAATTCGTATGAAACTATAGACTTAGTATTTTGACTTCACAAACATCTAATTTGAACCAGTGCTGCATTAAACATACCACTTAACACACAAAAATCGATACTTATCTGTGTTTTTTTAATATTTACTTTTAAATTAACAAATTGAGTAATGTATAATTCTAAAATTTGAATTATAATCAACAGTTTGATACCAAAATTATTAACATAAATTCATGAAATAGTAGTTCAATAAAATTTTGAACGTGAGTAAACAAACGAGATGACATGGCCTTTCACCTGTGACCCATATAGAAAGGTGTGTCCTGCAAGTTGTCGTGGCCGCACGATACACTACCGTGTTTCTTGATATAGCCATTAAACAGTTGGTCCGCTGTATATTATCGAAAAATGAATTCAACGAAATGTCATAACATTGTTCACATACCTAAATTAATTTGGCTTACCTTATGGTGAAGTAAAATGGACTTAAAACCCCATAAGTAAAATATTTATTTCTTTTGTATTATAACTCTTGAAGGTGGAACTGCTTTGAGTGTTTTTTGTCAGCTCATGACGTTTGTTTTTTTCGTATTACGTCATAATATATTTATGCACGTGGCCTTGTATAGCGCGCTGTTCGATTTTACGTTTGTGATGCGTGTTTTAATTTAACTTTAAGTGAGTTGGATTTATAAAATTTTGGGAGTGTATGTACATGTATATATGTTTAACGTTATAATTTTATTCTATCTGTTATAGCTATGTTAGGCCTTTTAAGGACAGAAAAGTGATGCAATCCTAGCTTTTTACCTTTTTATTTCGACCCGAGTGTTACACGCATTTCATCACCGTATCATATGATACCTTTCATTCAAATCTCAATGCACTAAACTGATTTATAAGTTATTCTAGCTTAGGCCTATCTTTCCACCAATAATATAGAAAATATTTTGTTAATTAAACGAAATCGAGGGTTAGGTGTAACAGTGCGGCTTGAAACTAGTTTTGTAGCTGAATTTGATATATCTTCTTCTTCTTTTGGGGTTTAAGAGAAGAAATCTAATACAGCCAGAATAATCACAACTTGAAACCACATGTAACTGTATGTGTAACTTAAACTGCAGAGTATCAAAACAGTTGTAGCCAAACTTGTATTTCACATCTCAATAATAACTATTAGAACACAAAACCTTCTGAACTCAGTAGTGATACAAACTTGAAATTATATGTTCTCTGTCACTCCAAAAAGTAATATTTTTTTTATTTACTTCCTGACGTAACCAGTCATATTATTAACATGGTTACCTACTATATACTGCTGAAGAGTTAATTTCCTTAGAAGTTTCATTCTAAAACTGACAGAATTGCTTTCTTGTTTGATCTTCACATTCATAACTTGCAAGGCTAATCTGATGTATTTTTTGTATCAATATAAATTGCATTAAACAAATAATTTAAACCTTAATCAATGAATATTTGCATTACAACTGTACAAAACTGCCCCATTTTGCCTTTGTTAAATATTAAAGTCCTTTGAAAAGTTTTTACAGTTATTACCTATTATTATTCTTTAAATATCCATAAAGCAGACATTTCAGGAAGCTTTACCATTTCCCATGGTGATGAAGGGGTATAACATTTTTCTTTAGTGTGTTTATTACCAGCATTGGGATTGTCTATATTTCCTGAGACCCTGTCTTTGTTTTAAGGTTACAAAACCAGGTGCTAAGACTAAGAGGGAGTAAGGAAATCTCTTCATTTTATGCTGGATCTCACCCTCCACCAAGTCCCTTATGTTTTGTCAAACACTAGAATATGAAGCTTGCTGATAAGGTGGAGAACACTAAGGTTTGTTAAGACTGAAACAGAAGTTGTTGGAAAGTGCTGTTCAGAATAAGGGAATTATTAAGATTTCTTCCTTGAATGGTTCTCATATCAAACTTAGGCCAAGTTCTTTTTTATGTCCTTTCAAACATCAGAATATGAAACTTGCTGGTAAGGTGGAGACTACCATTCAATAAGGTTTATAAAAACAAAACAGGGGTTTTTGAAAACTGTTGTTAAGAATAAGGGTGATTATGGAAAAAATACTTCATTGTGAAATATTTTTGTGATTAAGTGACTTATGAGAGAGAGAATAATAATGGCTGGAGACAGCTTGAATGGGTAATGAAGAAAAACTTTAATATAAGTTTAACATAACAGCAAATGTACAACGTTTCGACAAGGTTTTGTCATCATTTGTCATTTGTCTCCGGCCATTATTAGTCTCAAAGTGGGTTCCTCGTCATCGAATAAGAAGGGTATATGTTTTAAATAGATGAATTTTTAAATAATGCCGCTGTTGTATTCTATAGTTAGACATGAATGAATTTCAAACCTACTAAACGGAATATGGAGATTAGGACTACAAGTAAACATACCTATAACAAAGGTTACTGAAGAAATAAATTAACTCGTTATCACTATTTCGACTGAATTTGGCATTAATTTTTTCAACTAATCCAAAAAAGTCCCACCTAACGACTGAATACGTTACAGCACTTCGTAAGTGGTATTATTTTGGTGAATATAAAATAAAACTTTGACTAAATCTCAAGATGAAGACCTGATTATGAAGTAAGATTAAAGCTTTACTAGAGATGATGAAACAATTAACAGAAGATCAAGAAGAAAGAGGTAGAAAATTTAGAAAAAAAGAACAAGAAGAAAGAGAGAAAATTAAAATAATGTGATAGAAAATTAAACGAAGAAGAAAGAAACGAGAAAATTAGAAGAACATGACAGAAGGAGACAAAAACATTTTAAGAAAAAGTTAAAAGAAAAAGATAGTATTTAAATAAAAATTAAGAAAGATCTTATTGAAGACGCTATTGTAGATATACAAGGGGATTACATCAGCAAGATTGAAGAAGTACAAAATAATCAACAAATGTTAATGCTGATAAGACTAGATTTCATCCAGGTGTTTACGGTAGAGCTATAGATTTCCCGCCACGAGAAAGAACAAACTCCAAAGTTAAGTAGGTGTTGGTTTTACTAAAAATATTCAAGATGAGGTTTACAGAATCCAGAAGGACACGAGGTACAAACCATGGGTTGTAAACCACAACCATTCTCAGATGTCCCGCGTGAGAGAGTGACGAGCTAAGTAATTCTAGAGAAGAAATTTAACCTGGGTCCTGTCGAGACCACTTCCAGAGGATCACTAAGGATAGAGCCAACAGTGAATTCACTTGATCTTCTACCCAGAAAGGACTACCCCAGTGACAGGACAGAACATTTGATAGTAGATTAAGTATATAATTAAACATGCTGGTAAATTATTAATGCACGATAAGAACTATGAAAAGTGAAATAAATAAAGTAGTCTATTTTTGAATCACATAATCTTGTCGAAATGTCCTACAGTTGTAATAAAGTTTTCGTCATTACCCTGTCAAGCCGTCTACAAACTTTTAAAATAGATTATTATTCGAACTTGTATCAAAATAACAGTTCATAATCAATCATTTAAATTATCTTTTATAATAGTATGTGAGAGGAGAGAGAGAGAACTTAATGTATTTTCTTAATGTAATCATTGAATAGAGTGACCGGCCCTTTCCCAATATAAAGATGAAAGAAAGCAACATAGCCCCGAAAATTGATGTATTACCTGAGTACTGCGATTGTGTTGAAACTGAATCCAACAGAAAAGGTGGTACAACAAATGACAAAGCAGATGGCATTGTCAAATGTAAGTTTCTTAATAAAAACTTATGTTATAATAAGAATATAACGCAAGAAATAGAAAAAAACACAGACTGGAATATGGTCGTAAATCAGTAAAATGTATCTGTCAAACATAACAGTTTAAGAATGATATCATTTCTAAACAATATTTATAAGTCAAGTGAATATAACTTCACTTAAGTTGTAAAATAAATGTTTTACAATGAAACCATGCTGATATCTACAGTAATAGTTTTTAGTAAATAGACAGCTGTACCGAACAAAGCAATACCAGCATGTTAGTTGTCCCTATATCCTTATTGAAGCAAGTAATACCAGCATGTTAGTTGTCCCTATATCCTTATTGAACAAAGTAATACCAGCATATTAGTTGTCCCTATATCCCTTATTGAAGCAAGTAATACCAGCATGTTAGTTATCCCTATATCCTTATTGAAGCAAGTAGTACCAGCATGTTAGTTGTCCCTATATCCTTATTGAAGCAAGTAATACCAGCATATTAGTTATTCCTATATCCTTATTGAAGCAAGTAATACCAGCATGTTAGTTGTCCCTATATCCTTATTGAAGCAAGTAGTACCAGCATGTTAGTTGTCCCTATATCCTTATTGAGCAAGGAGTACCAGCATGTTAGTTATCCCTATATCCTTATTGAAGCAAGGAGTACCAGCATGTTAGTTGTCCCTATATCCTTATTGAAGCAAGTAGTACCAGCATGTTAGTTGTCCCTATATCCTTATTGAAGCAAGGAGTACCAGCATGTTAGT